AGTTTTTTATTATTATTTTAAGATTCTGCAAATATTTGCTGATTAATTAGCATTGGAAACGCTTAACAAGTCACACACCCACAACAGTTGGCGTTGTGCGCCTAAATAAATCAAAATAATGTGGCAGATGTATGTATGTAGTTATGTATACAGTGTGACAATTTAATTTATAAATTGCGGCAAATGGCAGTCCTTTAGAATTTTTTTCGGTTCACTTATTTTTATTGCATTTCAAAACGAAATAAAATTAATTTACTTAAGCTCTTAGCGATGCTTTTTTGGTGACCTCAAGTGTTGAGTATTTGAGGAATGCTTTTTGTCACACCTAAAGCTTGCAAACCAGCCTTTTAAATTATCTAAATATTCTGTCTGCTAACAAAAAGTCATATATTTTGTATTACTTTTAAGCTTATAAAGCAGCTTAAGGTTTTTTTTTTTAAATTTAATAAACAAAAATGCTAAGAAAAATTATCAAAAACACCTTAGACAATGAAATCATTTGAAAACATAATTTAAATTTTTTTTAATCTAAATATTTTTAGCTTTTAATTTATGATTTTTGGTGATTTTTTACTTTTTTTGTTTATTTATTTTTTTATTTCCTTTTCTTCAATTTATATCTACTTCTTGCATTTTTTTAATTGTATTTACTTTTTATTCCTCGTTTATTTTGTTTTTTTTTGTTATTTTTTTCGATTCTTAATTTATTTTTATTTTTTTTTTATATTTAATTTTATTTCATTATTTCTTACTATATATTTTATTAACTTTATAATTTCCTCTTTTTAAATTTATATTTAAAAATTTTTTATTTGAAAATTATATTAATTTTTTGTTTGCTACCTTCTCTTAGTGCCGCTTTTTTAACTTTTATTAAGCTTTCACATACTCTTTAATTAATTCTCAAGCCAAGAAATTTACTTAAGTTCATTAATTCCCTCCCCGCACTCTTCAGCAGCGACCAAGCGCCACCAAGTCTTAATAATTTTGTTTCTCCTGTAGCTTATTTTGTGATTACTAAACTATCTTATTTACGCAAACATTTACGACTCGAGTGATGTGAACTTAAAAAAAAAATTGTCGCAACTTCAAAGACGCGCCGCCGCCAGATAATTTTCATTGCGCACTTGTACTTTAATTTGTACCAAATCATCAGAATTTAATGTTAAACTTACCAGTTGGCAGTTGGCTAGAGTAGAAGCTTATCAGTACAACAGTTTAATGATGAGAAAATTGCTATGTAGAGTTGCCAATAGAAGGAAGAATTTGAAGTAGATAATTTAAAGGCAAATTAGTAAAAAAAAAAATCTAAAAAAAATTCTGTAAACAAAAATATTACAAATAAGCTAACTACAGTCTCGAGTTGATTGTTAAAATGAACAAATTTTAGCTTATCTTGGTTTAAATAAAGTTTTCAAAATCTTCCATAAACTCATTGATGCTATCTCTCATGCATTTTTATGGCCTTTTGCCACTTCCAAGTCATAATTATACCCATATCTTAAGAGTAATAGAACAAAAAATGATATGAATGCTTTAATCTGCATACTAAATCAAAATTCGAAAAAAAAATATTTTTTTATTAATTATTTACTGTCTTCATTGTGGTGAATAATTTTTAAAATTTTCTTTTCTTCTATTTGTACCCAACTACGACTTTCTAGCCCACTACAAGCACTTGTGTTATATTTGCAGCTACTTTGCTTAGAATAACTTAAGCTCTATATAGAAATGAATTTTTTCTCCTTCTTAACGCCAACTTTTTCCAATCTTTTCAACAAGTCCATCTTGACACTTGTTATCTTGAACTTCTTTTAAATTAAATATTTACACTCAGCGCCTGTAGATCATTCTTCTTTATGTACAACTTTTATTATACTCTCATTCTCCTTAAGTTTACTGAGTTCTAAAAAGCTCAAACTTGATTTATAGCCAAAGTTTATAAAGGAAAGCAGAAAAAAAAATACGATTGACGCAATTTACTTTATAAGTTTCCTACTTTTAAGTAAGTTCTATGCACCCACTAAGTTGAATTACCTGAGTGAATTGCTCTAAACTCTTGCAAAACTATTTACATAGCATCCCGTTCTCTGTCTATGCGCTTATTGTACAAATAAGAAAGAAGTACGTAATACCGCCTACACTTAATTAAAATAATTTCTTCTTCCTCTTCCTCAACTCTTTTCTATTTATATTGTCATTCTTCTTATTATACACGCCGCTAAATTAATCAAACAAAGAAAAGCGGCGACAATAGTCGCCTACAAGTATGAAAATAGTAATAAAGATGAGTAGAAGTATACATAATAAGTAGTTTCTTTCCCTTCACAGCTTTGTAGTGCACTGTAAACAGCGGTGTTCATTTGAATTGTTGCTTTACAAAATAGAAATGGCAAGTGGCAAGTGACAGATAATTTTCTCTATAAATATTTTTATTTGTGTGGCACTAAAATGCTTGTGTATAAGAATTATGTGGAAAAATTGCTAATAAATATTGCTCAGCATTATATTTTGAAAACCATAAATACGCTGAGAATTACAAGCGCAAGTGAATTGCATGCAAATAGCAATTGAGTTGACCACGAGAGGGCGCTGATGCAAAGAACTTGTTTTGCGCTCTACTCACGCACCCCAAAACTTGGCTTTGTTGTTTTTACTCTATAAAATTTTTCTTTTTGTGGCGCCTACATTACTCAGCCAAGAACAACAGCCGACTCTGAAGACTTCTCTCATATAATCTAGATGCTTCTTCTATGGTGGATTCTCTTATCTATACAGTTATTTATTTTTCGCAAAGTGTTGTTTTTAATTTTCAATTTATTTTATATAAACACTGTTAGCGTTTTTGTGTACATCCTTTCGTTTACTTAGGTAATTAAAAATTCATAATTTTAATAAAGCTCCTTTTATCAAATCCAATGGGAGCATTCAAGCATGACTGTTTCGTTTGCTCTTTCCTATTGCTCCGCCACACTTTGCCTTTATCCACTTGTGTTTACCTTCTTCTTGTCATTTTGCTTATCTTTACGCTTTAATTGTGGACACTTTACGAAATTTATTGTCTTTACGCTTTTACCAATGCAGCTGTTGTTGTTGTTGTTGTTATTATTTTTATTAATATTTCATTTCATTATTATTGTATTTTCTTGAGCTTTAGCTTGGTATTTATTAATAACATTTTTCCTTCTTGTTAGTATTCCTCTTTAGTTGATTACTTTTCGTGTTTAATTAATAATTAAAATGCAAATATTTATGCAAATTAATTGAGTGAGTTGAGTAAATGTTTATGTAGTGGGTTGTGAGTAGATTACATGTTATATGTAGGTGCGAATGTGTACATTAGGGGAAGACGAGGGCTGAAATGTGACAGTGGGCTGTGGCTAAAATATGGGGCGAAATGCGGAGTGTGGTTAAAAGTGAGTCATAACAGGAAGTTTTAAGACCATTATTTAAGGATTAAAGTACGAAAAAGGAATTCAGTATTTATTTATAAAAGTAAAATATTAAATTAATAAAAAATGAATAAAAAAAATAAAATAATTAATTTAAAATAAAAAGTAAAAAAATATACGAATAAAAAACATGAATTAAAATAAAAATAAAGAAAAAAATATGCAACAAGATATATAAATAAACAAAGTAAAGAAATAAAGTAAAATAAGATCAAATAAAATAAAAACAATTAAAATATAATAAAATAATTAAATAATTATAATTAAATATATGAACAACAAATACTATGAATTAAAGTAAAATAAAATAATAAAAAATTAAAAGAAAGCTAATTAAAATGAACTAAAATAATTAAACTAATTGAAATAAAATAAAATGAAACGATATGAAAAAAAATAAAATAAAAAATAATAACTAAAACCAACTATTAAAATTAAATAACATAGGGAAACATTATGCAAAAAGATAAGTAAATAAAATAGAAAAGGAAATATAATAATAAAACAAATTAAAGGAAGAATAATAATAAAACAAATGGAAGCAAAATAAAGTGAAATAAAATAAAAACAATTAAAATAACATAAAATACAAAATTTGCTAAAACTTTACAAAATAAACTAAAATAATATAAATTAGAGTAAAATAAAATAATAAAAAATTAAAAGAGAAAATTAAAAAAAATATACCAAAATAAAATAAAATATTTTAAAATAAATTAAAAATTAAAACAATTAAATTAAAATAAAATTAATAAATAAATAAAATAAATAACATAATATAAAATAAAATAAATTAAAATGAAACAAAAACATAAAAAACTAAAAGAAAACTAATTAAAATAAAATAAACTAAAATAATTAAACAAATTAAAATAAAATAAAATAAAATAAAATAAGACAAAATAAAATAAATAAAAAATTTAAATTATTTAATATTAGTTATTAAATAAAAAAAATTAATTAATATGTTAATTTATATAAAGTAATATGAATTAAAGTAAAATGAAAGAACAAAAAATTAGAGGAAACTAACTAAAATAAAATAAACTAAAAAAAACAGGAATTGACTAAAATAAAAAAAACGAAATAAAATAAAACCAAATTAAATACATAGTATGAAATAGAATATTAAATAAAATAGATAAAATAAAAAATAATTGAAATAATATAAAAAAAATCAATGAAATAAAATGCGTAAAAAAAATTAAATCAAAAGATTAAATTTTTAAAAGGAATTAATATAAAATAAAGGAAAAAAAATAAAAAACATAAAAAATAAAAAATGGTATAAAATAAATTAAAATGAAATATACTAAACTAAATGAATACAGATAAAAAAAACTAAAAGTAATTAAAAATAAATTTAATTTAAATAAAAAAATTAAATAAATTAATATTTAAATAATCATATGAAATAGAATAAATTAAATTAAATTAAAATAATATTTTATCGGATAAAACTTTAGAGTTAGCTTGCCATACTTGAATAATATTTAAAATTTATTTGAAAATAAACTGATTTTTTTTGTTATTTATTTCCAATTACAGATCTGCAAAATTCTTTAACTCTTTTATCAAACGCAAATGCCGCAAACTAATTAAACCATATAAACAACGACAAAATGGAATTGGAAATGGTAAGTACTACAAGAAGATAACTCTTAAAAATGTCATTAAAGGAAAACAATTAACAAGCCAACATGACAATAAACAGTTTAGCTATAAAAATTGAAGTAAAAAAGAAACCGAAAAACAATTTTTCTACAGATAGAAGTTTTGTATGTTAAAAGCAAAATAAAATGAAATCTTCAATATTGAAGAGAATAACATTTAAATACGAATTTAACACATTTCAACATTTTAAATGGCCATAACCAATTGAGTGATGTGTGTGGAGAGAAAGAAATAAATAATATGTTTCGGCATACCATTTAGAGTATTTCTTAAGTACGAGTAGGCATGAGAACACGAGCAAATACACTTGTATATATATATATATTTATACCCATATAAACGTTAAGGAAATAATGGCTCATTTATATTACACTCGACAAAGAGCCAGACAGTCCATCCGACAGGCAGTCAGTCAGTCAGAAGCTGCATAAAAGCCTGCAGCTCTCAAAATTTCCATTTCCATTTGCGCATGCAATTTCAAGTTGAATGCCAAATATATACATATAGATTACCATTGGCGGCACATAAAAATCGTAGTCCTCCGATGTCCACTTTGACCCTGAACACCTTCAAAGCCACTTCGTGTGTATGAGAAAACCAATTTTTCAATTCAGACGCAGACAGACAGACAGACACGACAAAGTCAAAGTGGATCTCCACTCATCAACAACTCAACCGCAAAAGGCATCAGCAGCATCATCATCAACAACAACAGCATATCTCATTTGAGTTGTTGCAGCCGCGCAACGGTGCAGTTGATATGCTGCTAGTAGACACTCGCGTCAGCTCAGTTTACAACTCTGGCATTTTTATAGCCCACATATCAGCCTTTTGACTATTTCGCTCGATATTAACTTCATTTCCCGCAACATTTACAGCAAAATTGTTTTTACTTTTCTTTATTGCATTTCCCCTGCTCTAGAGCATTGCTCTTCCTTGCTTCAGTATTGAGTAGCTCCAATCCACACTTTTGTTTGTGGTTTCTACTGCAATATGTAGCTGGTAGTTGCAGTGACTGCTCCAGCTGCTGCATGCGGTTATTGTTGCCCGCTAGCAAGCGACTTGTTGCCCATTGTTAACACTTTGCTTTGACTTTCGGCAAAGACGTTCTCAAGTTTAAGCCAACCTAACGTTCTTTGGTGTTTGGCTCAACTTGAGATTTCTCTTTTTATTTTCGTGCTCAGGTTTGGTTTACTATCATTTTTTATTTTTATTATATACATTTTTTTATTTTAATTTATTTTTTTTTTTACTCTTTCCTTTTGGATTTTTTCTTTTTATGTATTTCTTTAGCACATTTTGTTGCCTTCGCAAAACATTTTATTTCGCTGCTCTACCCTCATTTGCATGCTTCTTTTTTGACTCTTCCGCTGCTTATGCTTCCCCTCCTCCTCTCTTGTAGCCAAATTCGAGTTAAACTACAATTTTTTAGCCAAATTCGACTACCTGCCTTTTCAACCTTTTCTCCCATTCATGGCTCACTAACCATCGCGAAGTTGCATAACCTTCCCACCAAACGACCCGCCATCCAAGCAGCCAACCAACTCAACACTTTAGTACTCGTTGCGCTTCAGCACTTTAACTTTAACGAGCTGTTGACTTCTTTCTTCAAAAAATCGCATGTTCTTCCTGCTTCTACCTCACTCACCTCCTTTGCTTACCGCCATAGCTCGTGTCTGCGCGACTTTGCTATCTTGCTAACACACCACCGAGGGCAGCATCAGCACCAGCATCCTTTTAGTGCTCAGCTTGTCGTGACTGCAGCTGTTTGTTAGCCAACTTGTCTGCTCGTTCTTATTTTGCTAGTTTTTGTTCAAGGTCTTTTCTTCTTGCCACTTTTATTGCCTTTTATTTGTTGTGGTTGTTTCATTTTTTCTGCTTCTTCTTCTTCTTCCTTTTATTTCTATATATCGTTTTGTTTATAGCGCTGCCGGTTACCGGTTAGTAGTGGCTCAACCATACCTGCTTTGCTGCATGCTCGCTATCTTCGGTCTGCTGCCTGCCTACTCTCATTCCAATTGCCGTTGCACATTCATTGCCTTATTGTTCACTGCTCATCTCTTGAATCTTGTTTGGTCTTTTATTCTCTATCATCTTCATACATAGGTATCTATGTATGTGGTTCTACGTGCATAGTAGTTTTAAGGCTTCTTTCTTTTATGCTTCTGCTGCTTTAACCAGTTCCTCCCCCTCCTCAGTGTGTACTCGTAAATTTTTGTGTTGCTTTAATTTTGTATATATATATTTTTTTTGTTAGCATGCAACATGCTGCAGCGGTAGTTTTCAAGTATTTGTTTGTTTGTCTGTCTGTCTGTCTGTCTGACTCTACGGTCGTTTAAGTCTAGTTAGCATCTTTAGCAGCTTCACCCTTCAGCTATGTCTGTGTCACGGCTGTGCATCTTCAGCGTGGCTCGAGTGTGGCTTGTTTAGTGTTTGTGTTATGTCTGATTGCCTGTGTTGAGATAAGCGTATGTTTGTATGTATGCATTATATGACATGTAAATTCATATGAATTTAAATTTTCAATGCCTTCCTTGAGTTATCTTAAATGCATTTAGAATAATACAAAATACGATTTTAGCATAATATGAATATTTTTAGAGAAGAGAATTCACTACACCTCTTGAGGTTTGAGTATAAAAAAGTTTTAGAAGAAAATTAAAATTCTCTTTCTTTTTTTGACGTTTCTTTCTTTTGACGTTTCTTTAAATATTAAATATTATTAAAATTAGGCTCTAAAAAATTAAATAAAAATAAAAGTATACAAAATTCCAGTAACTAAGATCTCAAAATTAAATTCTGAAAAATTAATACTAAAATTTTTTACTAACTTTAATATGATAATTCTCCAAATTTAGTTCTGTAAACAAATTTCCATAAGTTAATGCAAAATCATAACAGTTTAGTTTTTAAAATTGAACTCTAAGGCTTTAATTATTGTGTTATTTCCAGAATTAAGCTAACTATTTTGACTATTTTCTTAATATTTTTTTTTATTATTTTCGTAGAATTACACTCCAGAATTGATTTAAAAAAATTAATTCAATATTTTAAAAATTTAAATCTTTAAATTAATTTGCAAAAATTGATTTCTAAGAATTAATTGAAAATTATAAGGCATTAATTTAATAATTTATTTCTAAATACCAGCTCGCAAGTCATTGAACTCTAAAAGTTCATTTTCAAAAATTAATTCAAAATTCTATTCACTTAATTCTTTATGAATGAAATATGGGTTATTTTTAGTCCGCCAATTCTCAAATATCCCACTTTGCCTCAGCTTCATACTAGTTAAATAACAGTTCATATATGCAAGTTGAATTTATGCTTCGACTAAATAACATTAAAAAAAATTCAACAACATCTAACAGTCACCCGACTCTCGTAAGGGTGTGGGAAGTAACGACAACAGACAGAGAGAGAGAGAGAGAGAGATAGAGAAAGAAAAAAAAGAAAGCATCAAAACATTTAACATACCAAAATTATGTTAAAAAATTAGCACAACCTACCTACCTACCTACTAGTGAGCTGAAAATTATTATTATTTGTATAGAAATAGAGAACTAGTATAATTCCACGTTTAACATACCAGTATGTCAACAAGTCATTTTACAAACTAGTTTAGCTTCACACCTTTTCTCTGCATTAGAAGAGATTTATAAAAAGAAGATATGTAAACCTAAGATATTATTAAATTTTCTAAGTTTTTATTATTTTTTGAATAAGTTTTAGGTTCTTCGATTCCTTAAAAAATTGCTATTCCCTCCTGCTACTTCTTCTCAAACAATTTTTTTTTTTTTCGTTTTATCTATTTAGTAATACTTTTTCAAACCTTTTTATTTTGTTTTTCTCCATAATTTTTTTTTTTTAATTCCAACGCAAATTTTAAACTCGCAACTTCAAAGGAATACCAATCCTTAACGCTTGAAATATTTTATTGCGCTTTGGGGCAGCCAATTCCGTGAGGATTACTTATTTTCCAAGAACACTTTTCACACCGCAGCGCGTCAAGTAGTGCGTTGTTGTTGCTTACATTTTTCTCACATCATTTTGACCCTAAATTTCATGTCGACATAGTATTATTAACATATTTCTGCTCACCTTTGACAATGGCCCCTTGCAACACCCTCGCTTATTATCGACACCACAACGCAAACGTGACCCTTTCACGCTCACTGTCAACCGCGAGAGCGATTTCTTCATTCATTCGCAAACTCAGCAGCGCGTATGCGTGTAGCGTACGAAGGGGGAATTTTTTTTAGTTACAACTTTGTAATGTTCAGAAACGCATATTTCGAAATTCTTTAGGAAAAAGAAAATATCTGTGTGCAGTGTTTCACCTCCGGCCACATGCTGCCGTCTATTTCAACACGGTGTTTGAAGTGAACAGCAGAAAATATGAAAAAAATCTACTACCAACAACAACAAAACGCCCAAAATGGCCTCGCGTCCACCCAACGGGTGGTGGTCGTGCTGGTGGGATGTTTATTTTCACATGTGACTTGCGTTGAGGCTGAGGCTGAGGCGTGCTGCTGTTTGGAATATTTGAAAAATTCGAAAATAGGCTACTTTGTTTTGAAAAATAGCACATACATATTCTTTGTATGCACATTATTTAAATGTTTGATATCTAACATAAAGTTAGTTTGAGGCTTCTAAACACTCTTAGACTCTTAGATCTGTTGTCGGTTGCCTGCTTCGAGCATTCGCTGCCTTAACTGCAGCTGTGGGGCGTCCCAATTTCATTCGCCACTCTTCATGCCATAATTTAAAATAAATTTTTTAATCTCATTTAGTTATGTGTATAAATTATTTAATGTAGAAATTTTGAGTGAAATATTTAGAGAAGAATTCTAATGGTAGCGTGAATAATTCTGTAGTGAGGCGAATGTGTGGAAAGAATTATTTTTATAAATTTTTTATTTTAATTTTTTTTTTAATCCAACGAATTTGCACTACGCAT